TTAGCATTTGCAGCAGTTCCTGCTGTTGTTAATGAAAGCTTTGTTCCTGAACAAGTTAATCCTCCTGTTGTGAGTTCCTAGTAATTTGACTGCCTTTCCATTAAATCAGCTCCAGAGAAAATGAGGAGTAATTTATTTTTCTTTCTTGAGATTGATCTAGTAATTTGACTGAGATTCTGCCTTTCCATTAAAACAGCTCCAGAGAAAACGAGGAGTAATTTATTTTTCTTTCTTGAGATTGACATAATCTTTAATTGAACAAGGAAAATCTTGGAGTAGAAATAAATTTTCTTGGAAGAAATGCATGTCTCTTGAAGCACAGTATCAGCCTTTATGCATCCTCACGTGGGTTTTTCTGTGTTGACAGCTCCCCATTGCGATAAACAGTCACTCCTTAATAATCCAGTCACTCCTTACGCATAAGTACTAGGTTGTTCTTGCAAAGCTATCCCTTCCCTAAAATCTTGCTTTAGAAAAACACTGTAATAAAATCATTCTAAGCACCAAAAGGCATGTCTCAAACAGCTGGGTATACACAGTTCTGTCATGAAATAGAAGGTCAGATAACATTTGTTTAGAGACATCTATTAATAGTGAAAGGATTAAGCTATTTAAACAAAAGTAACCACTTGAAGCTAGTAGCCAGGAAAAATTGTAATATAGCTTTTGAATGAGAAAGAAAAAATGAGTAAGACTTTAGGTGATGTGTTTAAAGAGAATTTTTTTAAATTTACATTGTGTTAAAAGAAAATGTTTCAGGGATTAGGTCTTAGGTGCCTTTTTGAGAGTTCAGAAGCTACCAATATGACAGTAGATTTTGGCCAGTACCTCTGTAATTCCCAAAAGATATTTCAGCTTCCCAGAGGAGGATCTGCAAGAAATATCTGATGTTTCTCTTTATGTACAAGGATTCTACATTTTCTGAGCTGACTTCCACTACCTCTTTCTGCAGAAACCTCTAGTACTGTACCACAGCCTTATTCCTGGTAGCCAATTACATGCTGTCATGTTCTGTGTTTATTTTTGGAGGTTATTTGCTTGTATCTCGGGTACTGTAACATTTACCTGTACAACCTCAGCTCTGAATGGGGCACAAGAATTTATATAATTGCAAACTGTATTTTAATCTTGTCTTTAAGCAAAAAATAAAAGTCTTTAACCCAGCTTTTGTTCAAAATGGCAATTTTTACATGCAATTCAGTATTTCAGAGTACCAAAATAACTGTCTGAAGAGTAGAGCCACAGAAAACCACTGGGGCAGCAGGTGCGACTTCAGGCTGTCTGAAGTCGTTCAGAGTAGGTGAAAATATTGAAAGCCAAATTACTCAATAGAAGAGATGATTGCATGAACCAGCAGCTTCTCCTGGAAGTGTAAGCTGAGCTGCTCACACCCACAGGGAACAGGGAGAGTCATGGTTGTATGAAATGGCACAAACACTTGGTCTGCAATACCTGGTTGCAAAGGCTCTGGTAGGTTTGCAGAGGAGAGTGTGTTTTGCAGCCTACAGATGTGAATGGAATTACCTCTGCACCAAGTGCTTCGAGAACCCAGTGCCTTGCAAACAAAAAGTACTAGCACAAAACCCATGCAAAAATTTGGAACACTTTGATAGTGTGTTTGTTCTGAGTTTATGAGCCTTGCTTCAGCATTTTAGCAAAAAAAGCTGCTGCTGCTGTAGATGGCAAAGCAAGGCTCAAAAACTGCATTTTAATTTCATCCTTATCTTTATTTGCACAAAAGCAGTCAATGTATGCAAGATACATGACTGTAGCCTTTTAGGGCAGCAGTTACCAGGAAATCAGAAGAAAGATAAAACCTTGCATAATAGTACAAATCTGCTTTAGGAAGAGACTGATGTCTGTATTTATTGTGTTGGTATCAGCATTCAGTAACTGAACCGTAACTCAATTACATTGAGACAAGTTTAGTTTTCTACAGACAGGGTGCACAAAACAAAATCTCAGCAATGAGAATCTCCATAAAATCAGCTTCACATTCAACCATTTCAAAAAACCCAGTAACCCTACTGGCCAATACTGCCCTTCCATAATTTATGTCCCACAATAAGATGGTTGTGTTTTTCCTTAATACTCCATGCTTTTTTCCTGTGCTCTTGTCAGAACAAATGACTGACAAGGGCTGACTCCAACAGAGAAAACTGGCATGCTATCTGTATTCACATTTCTAAATAATATTATGCTGCTTCAACTATCCTATTGAAAAGGATTTTGTTGGTAGAACTGCTGAATAAACACAGGCCTCACTAAGTTCAAAGCAGGGTAATTTTGAGTACAAGATGTTTTAACTGAGGAAAATAGTAAAAAATGTAATTTTAATGAGTTAAAGACATACAAGATGAGAGACTGAAATATCAGAAGTCTCAATGTAAAATCAGGAACTTAGCCTTAGTCTTATCAAAGCAGCATTCATAAATCCACATGCACCACATAAAAAAATTCTGCTTGCAAAATCTTTAGTTTATATTAACCCTCAGGAATGCAACATTAAAAAGTCAGCCTGCCTGCAGTTAAACTTCCTAGGAAGGAATTGGTAAATTCTTGAGAACGTTGAGTACCCTGTTTAAAACCAATTTGCAACAGGCTGCTGGTTTGAGTGGACAACATGTGAGTTTCTTCCAGTGAAATAGAGGATTACAGTAGCTGGATTTCCCCATCTATTTTGGCCTCTCCATAGCAGACCAGCCTTTATATAACAAGACAAAACTCTGAGAAATATTTGTTTACTCTGCTGTGATGAGTAATCCAGACTTTGTACTTCTGCTAACAGACTTCCTAGGAAAGCCCTTTGGTTTTGTCATTTAAACAGAAAAACCACCACCACCCACCATCAATTGTCTGCTTTTTGTCTGATTCATACAGCTGAAATTGCTCATCCTAGAAAGTACATTCCATAGTGTGGATAAGGAAGACAGTTATCTCTGCACTTTACGTCACTTTATACTGAATTTACTAGATAAATTTACACAGATAAGTTAACTTGGAGCATGTGTAGCTATACTTTTGCTGTTAAATGTACATGATCCAAATGACCAAAATCCGACCTGATCAAGACTTGGAGATGGATGGTTGAGTTAATTTGCTGTGGTTTATTACAGAAATAAGACCAGTCCAGTTCTCTTGCACCTATTGAGATAAAAAGTTACAACTGAAATCAGAACCTTGCTTTTGGTTAGGGTTTCCTATTTTTTTGGTTAAGTTTTTGTTGTTAATGTTGTTTTTTGTTTTGGGTTTTTTGTTTTTTTTTTTTTTACTGTAGTGAACCGCTAGCTCAGTCATATTATCTTGTGGTACCATCTAAATGCATGCTATTATCCATATTCATTAAGAGGCCTACGCAATCCCAGACTACTTAGTAACAATAAAAGACAAAAACCGCAGCCAAAATCCTGGAGAGCGCAGCCTGTCTGGAAACATGCTGAACATGCAGGGTAGCTGCTGGCAATTCAGATAATGAACTCATCACAGCAGCCAGAAAATGTATCATCAGGATAGATGGGAATTCAAACAATCAGCTTGTATAAACACTCATATTTTAAAGTCATTTTATGGAAAATGGTATGCAGTCATTTTGGTCAAGCGCTTTTCTCTCTCAACATGAGAGAAAATGCTCACAGAATAGGGAAAAGAAATGCAGTCCAGAGGTTAAACTGAGGGTTTCAACTTTTTGTGCACAGGAAACAGGACAAGAAAAATAAAATTCAAGAAATGATTTCACATAAATATTTAGTATAAAAGCCTGGACAACTCCTTGCCAGCTGTAACATCCAAATTTTTATCTGTGAGAGTCAAACAAGCTAAATGATGGAAACAATATTCATTAGGTACTTTTCTAAAAAATTCCTGCAATAGAACTAATTTGGGGAATTATTAATATTTCTGTCGTGGCTATCCGTATCTTTCACAAGGGCATGTTACTACTGGAAGAAACAACTTACATCAGTACAATTTGTTTCTCAAAGTACTGGATTCACCAACATGGAATGGCGAGGCCATGGCCTGTCTCATGATCTACATTATCTCTTAGTGGCACAGCTTATGTAAGAGAAAAAGAGATCGTGGCATGGTGGATTTTGATGGGGTTCCTTACAGCAGAAGCAACTGTTACCTGATAGAATCCAAATTTTCTAGTGACACTGCAATGTTTGGTATTTCCTTAAACCTCTACGCTCTGAAGAGTAAATAAATACACCGCTATAGCAGCATGAAATTCATAATAATTTTTGCCCTTCAGTGAACTTCTCAGGGTAAACTTCAGGTAGTCAAAAGCCAGGAAACAAAAAAAAAATGCTCTGTGATTTTTTAATTTCATTCTTTCATCTTGTGCTTTTGAAGCAGTTTCACTAGGAGATTGGCTTCTGTTTGTTGAAAGCAGCATTGCCAATCCTGTGTGGAGACTGCATAAATTGCCAAGAAAGGAAATAGATATTTTTGCCTTGGGTCTGTTTTGGAGGGATGGGAAATATTCACCTCTGAGTGCATTGGGTCCTGATGGACTTTCTAATGGAGTGTGGAGTTCTTCAAAGAGAGGAGATGACCCTCCATAAGGGGATATAAAAGAGATGCACATCAGCAGCAGAGAGAGAGCAGGAAGCAGGCACTCTCCAGTGTGGCTAATTACCACAGGGAGGAAGGGAAAAAATAAATAATACTTGGCTTGGAGAGCAGCCATGAGGCACAATGGCTTTGAAACATTAACTTCTAGCTACCAAGATTTTAGTAGCCCATTAAATAGCACTGTCTGATGGATCTGACCTGAGTGGCACAATTTCTGCCTCCATTGGAGGCTGAGGAATGAAGCACCACCTCTGAACCCTTTGCCAACCTGTGCTGCCCTCTGAAGGTGAGCACATGCTGGTTCAGCATTGGAAAAGACCACACCTTGCTGTATTCCTCCAAAGGCATTCCAGAGGACCATCAGGATGAAAATACTAATCTAATTAATTACCCCCTTAATTTATACAACAAGCAAGCTCCAACCAAACAACAACAAAGTGAACTGTATTAAAAAGAAAGGCATGCAAATGTATATAAATAAAACTTCTTTAAATACTTGCTTGTCTTTAGAACAGCATTTTCCCCATTCAGAAACTACTTATTTAAGCTAGAAGAACATAGAAATGTTCAAAGAATATGAACAATATACAGTCTAACATTACACAATTATGCAAAAAGGTTCAATTTCTGAAACATTTCAGTTACACCAGGATCTTTGGCTTGACCCCTACATCATGTAGAACTTCGTATGAAGGGAGTCTCATAAAAAATTAATCTCCAATACAAATCACTGTATTATGAGGCTGTATATGCAAAACTTTTGATCAAGGCCAAGCATCAGCAATCTGTCTTGAGAATGAAGAGCAATAACCAGAACGAAGGTGGCTTCTGGACTTGGCACTGCATTCTCAGCCCACAGAGCTCCTGGCTTGTGAACGTTGCGCTGAATGAACTCCAGATGTGCAGCTGTGGCAACCCCTGTGATCTAAGCCCCATGCAGCACAAATATCTCTGCTGTCAAGAAATACCCACCTGCAACTGGGTGTGCTCCAGACGCTGCCCCGCAGGTGGCTGGGTCCTATCACAGCTGGAGAGAAGTGCAAAGAGCTCGGAATCACTCCAGTGGCCATTTTCATGACTATTCTGCTTACAAAATGAATTAAACTTGCTCTGGAAAGCAGGGATAATAAAATTAAAGGGATATCAAATCTTCAAAACCACACTGCTGTCACAGGAGTATTTAAACAAATGCATATTTGACACTATTTCTAACAGCTTTATTGGTTCAATAACTGTCGTACAAAATTGGTCTCTGAAACATCGTAAGAGCAAGAATTAGTCTGTAATCATATTTTGTACAGTATTTTAGCAGAGGGGGTACAATTTTTCTGGAAAACAGTGTTCTCAAAATCTGAAATAGACACTGATTTTAAAAAGCAGCACAGTAATATTTCTTGTCTCACAGCAAGAGCCAGAAACACAAGTCTCTTATTTTTTCTTCATTTCATTTAAACCTGTGACAGCACTATATGGATAATGCTTATTTTTGCATTTCTACACTGCCCAACTGCAATTCTTTACAAAATACCTTCTGAACAACAGCAATAAAAGCAGAAGGATAAAAAAGTATCTGGAAGGCTTGGTGGCTTAATCCTTTCCACCATGGTAACAGGCAGATGACACTGTAAGGGGAATTTTGATCCCAGTAGAAATGTATGAGTCATAAAATCAAAATCCATTCTGAGCACAGCAGTCACGTTTTTTGTTCCTTGAAGAAGTCTATTCCTTTCAACTCTTCAGGTAGATAGTCCTGCTCCACAGGTTCCTTGTACATGGGGTTGTATTTGTAGCCTTTTCCATAGCCCAAGTTCTTCATGAGCCTTGTTGGGGCATTTCTCAGGTGCAGAGGAACAGGGGGCAGTGGTCCCGTGTGCATCCTCAAGCATTCCTTGACGTTGCCATATGCCCTGTACACCTCTATAGACTTTGGGGCTCTGGCAAAGTACACCACACACTGTGCTAGAATCACCTGCAAACAAGCAGAGGGGAATGTTAAAATACTTCTTTTAATCTCTTTGGGAAAAGGGCTGCTATTCAGGCTGTTTGTACAGCATGGCAGGGATTGTATTTTTAAAGTGACCTCTGCCTGCCACTGTAATATGAATGCTATTATTTAAAAACACCATAACTCCGTGGTTTTCAGTACTAGAAAATAATAGCTACTTTATCTATGATAGAAAAAAACAGACAGAGAAAAATATGTTCACGTATCACATTTTAACAATAAATATGCAGTGAGTTTTATTTTAAACTATAACATTTATTTTAAGAGCTACAATGTCCTCTTGTCAAAGAAGGGGCATGCAGAACAAGTAATTAAGTCTGCCCTGTCCTTGCAATCTGCTTCTTTTTATAGTTACAGATAGGTTTTACAGATTGCAGAACTTTCAAATCAGTGAATTAATGAAACATTTACCTCACACTCAGGCATTCCAATGAAGTGACAGCCTTGATAAGCAGCAACTGCTTGTGTTAAAGCCAGAGGATCTGCCAGTCCTACAGAAAGGGATCAGATAAAAGCAGGCTAAGGTCAATTTATTTTACTTAATTTTTTGTTTTGTTTATTTTTTCCTTTCCTGTAAGGTATCCATGCACATTTCAGAGATGCTTTCTCAGATATTGGAATTTATGGTACAATACCACACCATGCATAAGATACACTCCCTCCATCCACAAGCTTTCCTCCTCCAGCAAAACAAAAAAGAGAAAAAAAAGTCCAAGCTGTGGGTATGATTTAGACTGAATCTGCTGCCACACAGTGGCAGCCGGAGCCGTAGCTGACCACATATTATTCTCCTACTTTTTGAAATTAATTAATAAAGAAATAGGGAAATATTGCTATACAGACATAGCTTCCACAGGTCTCCTAACTCTTCACCCATCACATATGTGCTAAAAGTGTTGCTGGATCTGCTACTTTGGATAAGTAAATAAAGATGCCCTACAGCTATCAAACCTACATGTCAGGGTAGGTATTCATGTGCCAGACTTATCAGAAAATCAGACATCCCTGAAATACACACTGCCTGTGGCACAAGTTTATTGGTGACCTACAACCAGCAGGGTTTAAAAGAATCCATATTAATACGCACCAACCCTGATCTCAAAAACATTTGTCTTTCCTGAAATAGGTAATCATCACAATGACACCTCATATAGGTCTCTGCCTGCATATAGAAAGTTTTTATACCATGTGAGGAGGCATTTCAATACTTCGTACCTATTCTGAAGATAACTGTTTTGGGTTAGTTTGTTTATCAAAGGCTGACTTTTAGAAACCAGAGAAGCCTGGCAGATCTTCATTCAATGTGATTTTCCAATGTGAAATACTGCAAATACTGACCTATATCTTCACTTGCAAATCTCACCAGTCTCCTTGCCACATAGAGTGGATCCTCTCCGCCCTCAAGCATTCGAGCAAGCCAGTAAAGGGAGGCATTTTCATCAGAGCCTCTCATAGACTTGTGCAGGGCAGAGATGCAGTTGTAATGCTCTTCTCCTGTTTAGGATGGGGGAGAAGCAATACACAAAGCTGTTAGGAGGAAATTAAGTGAAATGCATTTAAGGGGACAGAATATATTTTACTGGATCACATCAGTAAACATAAGCTGCTTTTCCAAGCTCTTTTTACAGGTATGTGGTTACAACACTCATTAATGTTTTCAGTGCCTTCATGGTTTCCCATGTGAATCATTCCCTAACTAGATAAGCAAAACAGAGCAATGATGAAAATTAAGTTTTGTTTTGTTTTTTAAGCATTGCTAGGCAAACAATTTGCGTTCTGTAACCTAACTGCCTTTCCTTCAAAAGGAAAAAAAAAAGATAACCCCAGATATTTTAAGTAGTTAGAAAGAAAACTCTACATAAATATCTTATAATTGCCAAAAAATACAAGCACATACAAACAACTGATCATTGCTTTTGGACACACACAGAGCTCTGAGAAGACAACACAAGAATCAGAGAAATCCAGTGCTATACAGTAGTGGTATATTAGAAAAAAGACATTTCATATAATCTAAAACTTGAAAACAAAGTGTGCAGTAAAACACAAGTTTGATGTGCTCTGTAGGGGTGAGAAAAAACGAAATGCCATGGATATACAATGATGGAACATCATACAATTTGGAAAAAACAGAATTGCAGTGCACAACGCTGGCAAACCTCTAAGAAATGCTGAATTCAACTGCAGACATCTGCACTACTGCAACAACACTTGAAATGCCAGGCTTCTAAGTAAAAAGTAGGAAGACTGAAAGAAATCAAGGAATTTTTAAAAAAATATTAAAGCTTAATATATTATTAGATTTGGACTCCAGGAGAAAGCTGTTCCACAGATCCTCTAGGGCTACACTTAAAAACAGAGAGTCAGTATTACAAACACTGAATGCGACCCTTCCTGCTTACAATTTTTCTCTGCAACTGGTTTTGATTCTTATGCATGTCTTTTAATCAAACTTGCAAGAGTATTTTGCTGCAATATTGTTAAACTTTCCATGTTATCTGCCTTTTTTATTTTTTCAAGTGCCTGGCATTCCTTGGCTCACAGCTAAGCATGTATTTTAAAGACAACTGGCTGCATGCACAGCCATCTGTTAATATTCCTCTTCTTCTGAAGGCTAAAAGGATTTACAGCCTGAGGGCCACATCAGAACACACCAGTGACTTGTAGGCCCTGAAAAATAAAAGGGCTGCCTGAGTGAGTCTGAGAACCAAAATCATCATGCTGCTGCAGTTGCTCCTTTTGCAGCCAGCAAGACCTCCACCTCCCAGGTGCATTCCCCCCATCTCTGCTCCTGCTGGAGGGTGGTTCTGTGGGGAATTCAACACGCTGCCGACAGCACAGGCAGTCAGGCAGCTATTTTTGCCAGGACTCCACACAAAGAGCCCTGGTATGCAGCCCTCACTCGAGCCAACACAAACAGCACGTCCGTGCTTCACCACAACACTTGAGTCAGGAGCAATAACCCCAAGCAGCTGAACTCGCATCATCCTCTTGCAAGAGGCGTCTCTTGGTCTCTTGAAAGCAAGGAAGAAGGCCTTTAAATATCTGCAGAGGTTGCACTCACCCAGATTTTTCTGCTGGAGGCTTTTATATGCTGTTTGGGCTACTGTAAAGTGTCTTATGTGGGGATACCAGCTGAAGAGGCAGAAGAAATCCAGCAGATAGGTTTGATCCATATATATATATGGATCCTGCAGGGAACTTCAGATTTCATGCTGAGAAGGGAATGAGTTTTTGCCTTTTATTTCCTTCCTTACAAAGTTAAGTGTTGGTGACAGAGCTACAATGACAGCACTTATACATCAGTATAATCACATTGCATTATCAGTTAAAGACAAAATACAGTGATGTACACTGGAAAGAGATCTTACATTTCTGTCTAAAAATACAGCTTATAGATAGCCTGAGATACCAAAAGCAGTTACAAAAAAATTAGAACTTTTAGTAAACCTTTATTTATTAGCCTTCTCATGCTAGTTAGCTAACATACAGGTTTGGGCCTTATTAATTGAGAGACAGACACATACCAGTTATCCATGTCTGCTGTATCCCAGATGCCTCTTGAAATCAAAACTATGAAGAGTTTTTGGAATCAAAATAAATTTTCTCTATGCAGTTCCCACAAAGGCAAATACCTTTCTGAAACAAGACACTGCACAAGAGGCTTTGTGGAAGAGGGTGCTTTCTAGTGTCTGACATATACAGATGCATAAATCTTGTTGACAGATGCCCAGAGATTGCTTTATGTGCTCATGAGGAGTTTTCAGGCTAGTTTAAGATGCCAATTTATCTCAAGTCATATTGGTAGAAGATAGGGAAAAGGTTTCGTTCACTCACCATAATTAATATTTGAGCTTCTTAAACAATTTCTAGTCACAAAGCAGTGGGAAAAACTAAAATCAGTCCCCATCTCAAATGATTTTCTATCTTAGCCAAAGGTACACATCAAACTGCCCATTGACAAAGGAAACAAGAAAGCCTTGGAAGTAAGGCTAGGCCAACAGCACGGATGAGAAGACTTTTCACTCTGATCCAGCAGAAAAAAACTGAGCTGGAAATCATTGACAAAGGAAAGAAGAAAGCCTTGGAAGTAAGACTAGACCAACAGCATGGATGAGAAGACTTCACTCTGATCCAGCAGAAAAAAACTGAGCTGGAAAAAGCCCTTATGGTGCGAGTATGGTGATTTAACACCAGTTGGGAATCCAACTCCAAATAAGCCACTTCCCTACCCCAGCAATGATGGGCATGGTATGGAATAGCAACTTATTCCTGCCCACATGGCTCTAAGCTCTGCCCTGACAGCAAACGCAGGACAGTGAGATACCTTCTCTTTTCTCTCCCAGAGAAAGTAAAGCAAAAAACTGTGTTCCAGACTGCAGAATAACTTAAGCAAAATACATATATGGTCTTTACCATACATGAAGTTATGTCACCATACAGGCAGTGAAATTACTAACATTAATCTTATTAAATCTGTTAGCAGAGTGATACAAACTGTTAAATGAAGGGGCAACAATACAACTCCATTTAAAAGGTCTAGTCGCTGCCCATCTGCTGGTAAACTTCAGTGAATTTGGTTGCTACATCATTTTTCTAAAAGGATCAAAATTTTAACAACTGCAATTAAAAGCTAAAATATGACTAATAGTTTTTGTTTCCTCTCCATCTGCAAGGGCTTCAGGCAGCTGCTGGCAATGAAATTTGATTAAAGTTGTTTCTTTGTCCTTTCGCTAAAATGCATAAACTATCTGCACAAAGACCTATTTTCTACATGTCTGCACATAGATTAGAACAACAGCCTAACAACAAGCATTATCAATGATTCTTTCCTAGATTACTTGATGAAAATACAGAAGAGAATGCCAAACTACACGTATTTGGCAAATTTTGCAGAAAGTAACAAAAAATAATGTAAAACAAGAAGTCCATATTTACACTCTGAACACTAATCAATAATTTGGTGCTTTCTACTTGAACATGCAACAAATGTATGTTGCTGCTATCATGATTAGACCCTCTGCTTTAAAAGACTGAAGCATTTTATTTTAGAGAACCGTAGATCCCACCCACCAGAGCTGTGATTCAACCTGCAGTCAACAGTCAGTGGTCAAAATAGACCATTCCACAGAACAGAGAAATTCTGAAAAGACATGTACCCGGGCAACCTGCTACTGTGACAATATCTGTGTCAGGCTCTCTGGCATTTATACAATCCAGAAAAACAGAGTTTTCACTGCTTTCCCCATTCTGAAAATCTCTAACCAAAAAAACCCACAATAAACCACAACAAAGATTACTGCAACAGATAAGGGCCTGACACACGCTACCCAGACTTGATGCAAGCCTCAGGAAGAGGCACTCTGTGCCATCCCTACCAGAGCAAGAAGGTGCTGGAGGGCTGGGAGCAATGGACACAGCCAAGAGTTCTGTGTGACAGTGGCCACAAGGCGACAGCAAACACACAAGGGACCTACATGGTGCAAGAGACTTGTACCAGCGAACCAGTCAGATTTTCCACTTCCTTCTAATCATGACCTCTTCCTGCCACAGACCTCATAAAATGTTTCTTCTCCCTCCCCCAGCCTGCCCTTGACTTCTCAGCTGCCATTAGATCAGTATCTGCCCAGCTGCCTTTCTCCTGACAGTGAGTCATCATTATTTCTTTGTAGCAAGAAGGCTGCAAGCGGGCATATGTTACAACCAAGCCCAAGAAACCTCTCGTCACAGGTTTTGAACAGTGGCAGTTAATGCAGTATATCAGAAATAGTGACCCCAAAAAAAAAAAAATATCAGTTCTCCAAATACTGCTTGGAATAATAATTTCATACTATTCTGCACAGTCATTCAAGTGTTGCTGAAGAAAAAGCATATGCATTCAAGGGGATTCACCTAATCTGCACTCACTGATTTTTAACCGTCTAACATAAAATGGTTTAGTGCTAACTACTATGATGCCTAAGATTGCCAAGTCACAAATTTAGCAGGAGTGATTATCACACTAGGAAGCATTAAGTGCAATGCGATTTATGTGGCCTGTCCTAAGCAAGCTACAGAATTCATTACCTTAAAAAGCAACTCTAAAAATAAAGCAAACTGCTCAGGTTTTGACATAACATATTGCTGTGGATGTGAGCACTTCCAAGACTTTCAAAGGAGTAGAAGTGCAATGGAAGATATCCAGCCCTTCAACAAAAATGTCCTCATCAAATTCCTCTGCCCCTTTCACTGAAACCCCCACAGACCTTAAATAACAAATAATTTCACCCTGCAACTAACTGTTCTCAGGACAGCAAAGAGGTCTTTCAGCTAATCTACACTTCCTGGTTGAGAAGGAATTTTCAGCTGAACTACATTGCAGAAGAAAAGTAACTTTCAGGACAAACTTCAGTAAACCACTGTTTAATCGAGCAGCTGGTACAAAAAAGGGAGAAGAAAGAGGAATTAGAAAACCTATCACATTTTGAGAACACTGCATCTCAGAAACTGCATCTGTTACTCACCTGCTCGGTCATACAGGATGTGAGATCGCTGGAGGCCCTCCTTTACATGCTCTTCTGTTACCAGAATGCCATGTGCAGCACCACCTTTGGCAGTGGTGTTCAAAGGAGTGTTCCTTCCCGCTGCTACTCGGGCCTGAACTGCCAGCTGCAGTCCGTTCAGCCCAGTCCTGGCATCCCCATCGCAAAGATAGGCAAGTGTGTTCAGAGCTTTCTCCTCTATGTACACGGGGAGTCTGCAACAGAATAACCACACGTCCTTAGCCCCCATCACACTCCTCTCCCTGCTTGCTGTGCTGGAGATGATGTTTCTTTACAAAGTTTCTTGATAAACAGCTGGGTTTAAGATTTGTCTTAACTCATCCTGCAGAGCCAGCGGTCCACTCTCTTCTTCTACTCCAATACCTGCTAAATACAATTGCATGTGAAAAATGTAGGCAGGAGCTCTCATCTATTTAACCCCCTTATTTTTCCTCACCTCACTAAATTCAACAAAAACTAGGGTTAGGTTTTCACCACAGCCCAATTCTGATAAAGCCAGCTGAACTTTACAAGGCTTTACTCCATCAGCATTTCACTGCTAGCACTTCAAATTCCTTGGTGGAAGGACAGTGAAAAGGCAGCAAGCTATCCAAATGCAGGTGAGAGAATATAGCGAGTTATAAAGTCATTAGCATAATGTTTTCATCTACTAACAACAGCAAGAGGTGCTATCAGTTATTTTTTAGAAAACAACAACTGGAAAGATTGTTTACAATGTAAAACACATGCATCCTACTTTTTTGGTATTACAACTTAGTCACTGGGATACAAAAAAAAAAAATCTTACTAGAAAGAAGCTGCATCCCAATACATGTCATCACTCTTCCTGCCATCTACTTATACTCTAAGTGTGCCAGAACTATACAAACACGAAAAAGGCCAAATTCCAGCGAAATCACTATCTAAATGAACAAGTCACTGAGATTAGCTCAGTTGACTGAGCATGGTGTTGATAACATCAAGGGTTTGATCCCTGTATGGGCCATTCACTTAAGAGCTGGACTTGAAGATCCTTGTGGGTCCTTCCAGCTCAGAATATTCAGTGATTCTATGAAGATGGGAATACCTGAGAAATGCAGCAGCAGGATCTCCTGAGATCTTCTAGTGAGTCCATGAAAAATCTGTGAGAGCAACAAGTCCTCAAGTTTTGTCTCTAGGTTTTCACCTGCTAGGCAGCAGTCCTCACTGTTGGGACACATTCAAACCAGTTCACCTCTGCATGTTTCAAAGGCACCCTGTTGAAGATTTAACCCTCAAACCTCATTTATGTAGACAAGGTAACATCTAAGGTGTTGCAGGCAGAGGGTGTAACTGATCTGATCTGGAGACAGCAGCTAATGGAATTCAAACATGACATTAATGGCCCTAACTGAGCCACTTGGAGTAGCTGCACTGTAAATCAAGAGTGACAGGTATCAGTAAGGATTAGCACATAGAGCTTGGTGTGAGAGGCCATTTCTTATGAAGCTCTTGTGTGTCAAATAATTAAGGATTCACAACACCCCTGCACTTCATTAACCAAAAGATGTGTTACTCTTAGTACCAGTGGTGTAGAAAAAGGGAGCGTCAGGGTTCCCAGACAGATGTGTCCATTGATTTTCATTACTTGCCTTCTCTTCTTCCCCACAAACCCACTTTGCACTTGTCACACAAAAGAAAGACTGTAGGTTCTGAAAAAAATTTAGCAGTTAATATTTGAATCCTCTCATGGCCACACATAAAAAGGAAGAACTAGTAGAACTGCAGTCTTAACCAACCACTGCAAGTAAAAGCTGACTGATGTCTTCTAGGGGAAAATCCCATGCTGCAGAGAGTAGACGGTAGGAATCAGACCCTCGCAAAAATAGATGCATCAAATACATCTCATCATGACTTTTTGCCATCCCCTTATTTCTCATGTATTTGATGAATCTAGTAAAAAATATTAACACACATACAGTGGCACTTTTGCCAGGGTGCTTCCAATACTGTCTTTGAACAAGGAAGCAGAAAAATGCAAATAATTAGTCAATTATCTCCAGCATCAAATTCCTTGACAATCAGGAAGCAACATTTTTCCCTCAGCACTACAGATGGGTACCAGGTCTTTCATAAGCATTAAATGAAAAAAAGCCAGCAAGGAAAGCAAAAGCTCCTTTTAAAAAAACAGCAGGCACTACACACAGACATCCTGCTGCTAAGGCCTCCTTTAATAGAAATGACCCCAAATATACAACATGTTGAGCAAACATTTCTCACACACCAGCAGAGCATACTTGAGAGAAGGTTTCACCTTCAAGGACTAAGTTCTTTGCCTGCTGCTTGCAGAGAAGCACACCCTGTGCTTGAGGCCTCCTCACACTGATATCACAACTGCAGACAGTGACTGCAAGTAAAGGGGAAGCACTGAGAGCACTAAAAGACAGGTACTACCTTGGAAGAAGCTAAGTACAGTCTTTTCCAAAAAAAAAAATATTGAGGCCTCAGAGCACTTTTGCAATTTATCTGCTAATTTACAGCTGAGTTGTATTCCTGTCTCTTGTTTCACTATAGGACACTTAACTGCCCTGTTGACTCGACGTAAGCAATTTATATTACAGAAAGTGAAACAAATATTCACAAGAAAGTATGAAAAATCTTGTTACAAGCAATGGCCTTGTCCATTTCCATGGTGAAATTTCAGTTGTAACCTAAGGGTAACGGCAATTCCAAACCAAATAATGCACTATGTATTGGCTGATCCAGTCCATGCCTACAATAGCAAGACATGCAGGATGTGAGAAAGAATAAGAATAAATGGAGAAAACTTCCACATACAAGCTGTTTGCACAGCACATTGATGAGAATCACTGATTGGAAATAACACAATGCTTCCCCGTTGCATAATCTCAGTTCCATACACACTTGGTATTTCAAAATAATAAAACGTTATACTCAGAATAACTGAATTGGGATTTTTTTTTCCTGAGCAATTAATACCATAAATTCAATTTTCGGATGATGTAATTTCAGTAGGCAGGAGTCTAATTTCAAAATCAGGATGGCAATTATTTCAGTACCTTGGCTTCCAAAAAACACTTGTGTTTTAAGCCCATCCTGTCTTCAGAAGTTCAAGTGCCCTACTCCCTCCAGATTACCCAACTTCTGCACCCATCAGAACCACAAGGCAGAGTAACTCCCATGCTTTCTGACTTCCTTCCAAGCTCCTGATAACGCTTGGAGACGGGCAATCCCATATTTTATTCAACTTCCAAAATTAACACCGAACACCCACTGGATGCCAATGGTCAATGTTGGTACTTTGTAACCAGTGATACTTGGAGACCAAAACATAAACAAGCCAAAAGGGACGTGCTGGGATCCATCACTCACTGGGCTGAAGGTGATATACTACCTCAAGGAATGGAAAACTACCACTACAGGATAATAAATCCTTCTTCCAGTTCCTCTTTATCGCCATACCCTCAAGACAGTTTGTGCCAAGAACCAACATGAAATGTATGATGAACAACCCATTAAACCATTAAACCCATTAAACCCGCAGCATTTGAGCCAATGACAAGAGAGCATAAGTAATATCAGGGAGTAAATAGTAGGAAGCCCAAGCAATGATAACCTGCGTGATCAAAGATTAAAAAAATTACTGACCAATACACGAGATAAAGCACCCACTGCTTCTTTCCCATATAAATCAGTACTTTCTTACTTTCTCAGTGCAATTATTCTCACTATGTTCACTCCTTGGCAGACTACAACACTTTTTCAAGCAAACACAGCTCCTTAACTGAACTACTGCAGTGTGAGATGCACTACTCACTGCCTTACAGCATTGTCTCCCAGTATTGCCTCTCACCCCAGCAACTCATTTCCTGCAAGGAAATTGAATGCATATTCCAGTTAAGGAATAATATTCAAGAAAGTATTGAACACCGAAGATCCCAAGGAATTCCACCTTCAGTGTTGTGATTTACGAACCAGTGAATTCAAAACACGCCAGAACTTGTAATACAGCCAATAACAAGCTGAAATGCATGATGTCTGGGCTTGCCAACAGGAACCTGAGGTTCCTTCCATTTCCCTCAGCTGTGTGCCTTCTGTGCTATCTAGCTTCAAACACATTAATCAACCATCCAGTTTACTGTCTGACTTCAATTAGAGATCCCATTCTGAGGGCAGCACTTGAATGACAAAAATAAAAAGCCAAGGGAAGAATTTGGTTTCTTCCACCACTGACACAGTGAAGTGTAATGTATCAGTGCACACCTGGAACAGCTGGTGCTATTACTGACCCAGCATAAACTGCAGAAAGAACAAGCACTTGCAGTAATAAAAAACATCTTTAACATTGACTTCTTCACCATGAGTATGTTTCTTCCTTTCTCGTTTCTCCATCTTCAGTATACTGAAGTCTATACTTCAGTAAAGTCTTCAGATTTACTCAAGACTTTAGAGGCACAGTTTGATGGCATGCTGATGAAAATACAGCAAGAAGTACACATTATCCTAAAGAAATTCAGTAATTATCATAAAAACTGTCAAAGAACCTTTGTGAGCCATGATGACACAACAAATAGAAAGATATCCAAGAACTAAAACCCACTGCTAGTTGCTCCACCTTTAGAGCAAGAAAAGGCCATGGTGGAATGAAAGAGAATCCAGGTGATCTAACTTTATCAGAAACCTGTGCCAATGGTGGAAGCAAGGTAAGAAAAATCCACAAAGAAAATCTAAGGAAACAGTTTTGGGTAGAGCACACTTTCCTTGTGGAGTGCAATGATGAAATCTATAAAATCACTCGGGGATGGTAACACTCTTGCCAAGCACAAAAGATGCCTGTAAAGACTAAGGAAGATTCACCCTCACCTTATTCCTCAAGGTAACAGGAGACCACAAAGAATCATCCTCTCCTTCAAAATCTCTTTTAGGTAAGCCATCCTGTCAAACAAGTGATGTGATACTAAAACCATCTGATTAACTGAGGCCAAGTAGCACATGCAGTACTTCATACTACACTGCTGTGGCTTGGAAAGGGAGACTCACGTGGGAAATGAAACCCAAAATTCAATGTGCATATCTCTTGTGCCTTCCTGCTAGATCTCTGCAGCATTTTCAAAGTGGATACACCCCACTGTTTGTGGACGTGCTGCCTTACAGCTTCTTTTCTCACTCTGCTATAAAGGTGAGCACCATTAACAACCAAATCAATTGTAATTGGTGATTTCCATTTATTCTTCAGGACAGCATGAAGAATAAATTATGTACCTGCCTGTACCTAATGACAGTCCTGTTCCATAGAGGCAAGGGAGTAAAAAGCTGAGACAGCTGCTCCTGTGGAGCAGTGGAGAGGAAATGAAGAAGCAGAAATGGTATGGACACCGAAGCAAGAAGCAGGAATCAGTGAGGAATCCAAACCAGAATCACAGGAGGGTGGATGGCTTATCAGCATCTGAACTTATCAGCAATAGAGTGTAGGAACTGTGCCCCAGCACCAGATCGCATAATGAAAGATAAGAAAGACCTGACACACAACTTCAACAAAACCTCACTTTTATTTTTAAAGGCTTGGCTCCCATGACTGCCTTTGGAGTGTGGTCCTCTCTACCCATGGAGAGATTTCTGAAACTGTGTTAGTCTGACTCTCTGCCTGCCAGACTTCTTTCAGTTTGATGAAGCACCGCGCTGTTTAAATCATCCATAGCTATCGGAAGGTTACAGACACGGAGAGTCCAGCGAAACCCAAACCCAAACAACTGCAGCTGAAACTATGCCTTGTACTTTAATCCTGTACAGAAAGGAAAGTCTCTGAACCCCAGTCAGGGTGTAGCCACAACCACAGCTGTGCTGCTACATTAATGCTGACATGCAGTACTGCCTTCTCTTCTAAAATTCACATTACTACAACACATAAAAGCTACAAATGACTAAACCATGAGGCAGGGTAACCTAAAAATAAGAAAGGAATACCTTTCCTTACCTGTCCTGACCTCATTCAGGTTGGCAATTCTTTGTGCTTACATTCTGTGACAAAGTTCAAGTGGATTCCCTCTCATTTATTTCATGCAGTCTATCAATCACCACCAGGCCAATGCACTGTAAATTACTAGGAGAGCAGCCAAGAAGCAACACGAAGGAAGTGCAATTGCTTGCACGTGAGTAGCACAGTACCTCGCATTACTCTTATTTGCCAGCCTCCTGTTTCAGAAGGCAGATAACATCTCCTGTAGACAAATGTAGATGTTGTTTTTTCCCCAAACTTTCTCAAGTGTTTAATATGAATTTATTTATTAATGTCTGGACATCAAGGAGCAGAGAAAAACAAAGTCTCTCTAAAATCAATCTATTAACATCTCACAGCAGCAGTCTCTCCTCGTCACTGGATATCCTAAAACACAGCACAGGATTTATCCTGTAACTAAAGAACAGAAGCATCTCCCTGATTCAGGGGGGAACGTCATCTCCCCTGATTTATTAAAAACAAATTCTCAGAAAACAAACTTAAGAGGGGATAGCCCATCCAGCACTTAACGGTAACATGATGCTTTTACAACCAGTAGCAAGAAGTAACACACATTAGGACATGACAAAGACCCAGATACAGGCTTCCACAGTAAATCCTCAGCAGCAGAACAGATTTAAATATCCTGAGAGGGTGAGTCAGGAGTTATGGATCCAAGTATAAAATTCTCTCCTAATCCAGATGGTGAGATTATGTTTTGGATGGAGAGAGCCAATGCTTTGAATTCTCTCTCTCCTGTCACCCCCGCCCCTGCCATATGCTGCCACTTCTTTTCTTTACTATCAGAAGTGGCTAGGGTTTCTCTTCCCACCCCCCAACTGCTTCATTCTCTCCCTGGCAGGCAGTCAGCTCCTCGGGCTGTGCACGTTAACACCCTGCAGCCCATAAAGTACTCACTCCGAGCTCTTGCTGCAGCTGCCAGTTGCAGGGGTGCCGTGCTGGTCGCCCTGGCCCAGAACCTGGAGCCCTAAGAACCTGACGGCCCTCATCAGAACCGCCTCCATCGCTTCAGCTGAGAGCTTCTCCAGGACGATCACCCGGCACCGGCTCAGGAGAGCGGCGTTCACTTGGAAGGAAGGGTTTTCTGTGGTCGCTCCTATCAGGGTCACCGTCCCACACTCGACGTGAGGAAGGAAAGTGTCCTGAGCATGGGAGGGAAGCAGAAAAAGCTGATCTCGATCAATGACAACCTGAAACATCCCATGTGAGTAGGCTACTTTTTTTTTTTTTGTGTCTTGTGAGACTTTGGGTTCCCTGTTGATATGACAAATAACCGCACTGACAGTTCATCTGCACAGATAGGGAAATGATTTAATTTCATGCACCCAACACCTCAATAATAAATGACTGCACTGAGAATGACCCTACCAGCTGAAAAGAAATAGGGTAAAGAAATCTGCAAATTTTGGGTTTGTGTGACTTTGGTTTATTGCATGACAACATAAGAAATCATGAAATTGCCTTATCAAGTATAACAAATAGTGAGGCTAATCCTAAATATGTTTGAATCAACTTTTACAACTACAACTCCCTGCCTAGTTCTGTACTCAGAAAACTACAGGAAGATTACAGAATAGTTCAATTCAACCTGTAGTACAGAATTCAAGCTTTCCATGGCATAACTGAAAAAAACTTATACCTAGGAAAGGAAAAAGACAAAAAAGCCCAAGTCATGGCTGCAGTGTTATCCTGAAGTACCATGCCATGACTTATTTTTTCTTGCACAGAAGAGAGGACAACATTAAAATACCCACCTTTGGCACATTCACATTCCAGACCTTTGTAAAGGTAATACAGAATGATACCCCCTAGATGGAGGCTGAAAATAAGATGTGTGCAGCAAACACTACTAACATGACTTTGCAAAAATAAAATTTCATAAAAATATCATATAAAGACTGGCGCATAAGTAACTCAGTCTTTTATTTAAATCCTTGAATCACAATAACTAAATGTTGGTTGGAAGTTAGCTAAGGAGTTTAATTTTTATGTTTCTCCCAAATTCATCTACTACATGTATTAACATTGAAATCAAAAGCCCAGAGGAAGGTATCACCTTAAGGCAAAGTGGGAGATTTTACAGAAGTGCTGACAAAGGCTGTTTTAAAAAAGCAGCATAGTACAATACCTGCTGAGATTTATTGAAACGATGGATCTCATCAATAAAGAGGATAGTTTTTCTCTTGAAGAGTCTTTTTTCATTCTGGGCTTGGCTGATGACATCTCGAACATCATTTGTCTTGGCACTTGTTGCTGACAGTGTCACAAACCTCATGCCATTCTTTTTGCTGCTGTTGGCTATGATGTGTGCCAGTGTAGTCTGAAACAGCAATAGGAGAAAGCTTTGTAAAAATAATTTCAGACACAGAAAGTACCAATTTAAAGGACATAAGTAAAGAACAAGGCTATATATTTTGGACATAGGGACAGTGTTGACAGTTTACAGAGTTAAGAGATTTTAGCTCACGTTATTCTAGGGCACAGAAGACTTAAAAACTTCCTGCTAGAGGTAACTGCCAATTCCTCTGCTGCACTTCCAATGCCTGCACTTTTACATACAGACCCAGTGAGCCTCAGCACAGAAAAGGACAGCACTGACAGCTGTCTCCTTTGTCACGGAAGAAGAACTCTCTGCCAAATACATTTCTGTCACAGAAGACGGGCTGACTGCAATTCCCTGTGCAGTTATTTTGTGCAGCATGTTAATGGATAAAGAGCTGGGCTACCCCAAGACACCTGCCTAAGAGTTTACAGTGCAACTGCATGTGAGAAATAAAAAGCTACAGTGTTATTAACTAAACCCTTCTGTATTTCAAATACACTAAAATGCAATTAATCAGACTGCAGTTTCTACAAAAGCATGAGAACATTAGTATTAAAAAATTACATGTGTACTTAAGAAAATATAACTCCTAAATCTAAATAGTCAACAATAATCAAATGCTGGCCTAGGGAAGCAAAAGGCAGCTGACTGAACAAAATTAGTAAGCAGCTATGTTATTTTTCTGTCCTGATGAACAGCCTCTTCAAATCCAAATTTATTTATAATTTCACTTAGCCTACCAAGGCACAGATGCAACCTCCATCAACCTCCTGGGTAGATTTACTATATCTGAACATATCACATACATGATTTTGAGACTTTCCTTCACAACCCTTAGTAAACACAGGTGTATGCCCAAAGAGAGTGTAGCTGTATTTGAAAGTACTGCTAGAGAAAGCAGGTGATTCTTCCATCAAGCTCCCTATTCTGTATTAGAGGAAGATCCAAAGGAGACTGAAGACAGGAGTGCCTCAGCAGATGAGGACTGTGACAGGTGCCAACAAAACCACCTCAGAAGATATTCTAAGTGCTGAGGTTAAAGCAGCAGGTGGTGTCAACCTGATCCTCTTGCAGGGAGGCTGCAGAAACAAGCACCTACCACTTGGCTACCAACGGTGCTGCAGTACCCTGCTCTGTCCATTTAATGGATTTCCTTGTCCCTAAAACTGCAACCAGCCCAAGTTAGAAAATGGGAGGCTAAGGAGAAGGATATATTGTTATTTATTCTTGCTTTAGTTTTAGTAAGGGTTTCTTGATTGCCTTCAGAAGCAGTGTCATTTCAGGTCCTAATACAAGACTCGCATCCCATGCCAGATCCTTCCTTCCTTCCTGGAGCTCAATCCACCAGACCATCCCCAAGCTGTATCATTGCAGAGGAAGATTGAAAGACACTTGCAAAGTGTTTGCAGCAAAGCCTACAGACATTAGACAGATCTGAGAAAATAAACGAATAAGCAAGTTCCACCCTCACCCCACCAAAACCAAAAGAAAAATATCTTTGAAAATGAGCTACCAAATTAAACCCAAAATTCATGTTTCCTTACAAAAGGGCCTTGAATCAGAATGTAACTTCAGAGGATATATCCATGCCTTAAAAATATCTGAAAGCACAGAAACACCCAATACATCAAATTTGAGGATGAAAAAGGAAAATTTACCTCTTCCTTCTCTAAAAGTGGCAGTGATGAGATGACAAATAAAAAAAATATAAAGCAGCTATTCTTCTTGTAGCTGCACTTGGACTGGTAGCTCACATTGCACCCTGGCTGTTACTCAGAGAGTTTTCTTATTTACAAAAAAAGCAGTAAGGACTTTGTTTTATACACATGCACAGGAGTCTATAGTTGTAACTCTAATTTAGTTGTAACTCTAATTTGAAAAAATCAAAGACATTTGTTTGAAAGTTACCATTAGATCAAGAATCTACTTGAAATCTGCTGCATGGATCTCAGCCAGCAGATACCTCTTCCCCTCTGCCAACTTGTGGGTCACCAAAGGTTGCAATAAGAATAACATACATTGCCTTTCAAATGTAATGCTTGACAAGGACAGGCATGTTCACAGCCTCTTCCTTCTGTTCTGCACAATCAATCATTCAGCAAGTCAAACTGCCTATCACACAGATGTAACACTTTCCCTGGTCCTCTGAAAGACTTACTTCCCATGAGCTCAGGTTTTTTATACTGCTTTTTGTCCAACCATCTCAAGCAAAAGTCAGTCAGAAGCTACAGTTTTCTCCCTCTTTGTTACTTCAGGTTACAACCTAAAGGAACACATAACCTAGTAGAGAATTCACATAAGAAAAGTAGCGTAAGCATGAAGGCCCTAGCACAGAACAACTGTAACTCATATGCTAATTTCCTAGTTTCCCTCACAGGCAATATTTAAGGGACAAGAAGAAAAGTAGAAATCTGACATGGAATAAGGCAGAAGAAAACACACTGATTATCCATCATCTAAAATAAATTTTGAAGTTTGATTCTTACATTGGAAAACAAATCTCTTAAAATATTGACACTGATGTTGCAATTTATTGTGAGTGCCCTGAATCAGAACCTGTATAAGAGGCACAAAAAGGAAATCCAAACAAGCTGATAATGTGCTCCTTTTATTATACAGGTATTTCTTATTTAGTTCTTGTTTTTTTCTTTATGGGCAGGAGCAGGAATATTGTTTCCCACAAATTATGAATAGCAGTGATCCAGTGATCCTGCAAACTAACCTTTTGCTAATTTCACTAAAAATAACACCTTACAAAGCTCACAGTGTAAGATCCTCACCCCTTCCTGAAACCATTCTTCTACTACAATGCCAAACTATTCAAACTTGTACCTACTATTATTACCAAACTTTTATGCTGAATATTGTGAGACCTTACTGACCTACCTGTTTAGACAAGCTAAAACAGTGACATCATAAAAAGCTGTTCTGAAATAGAAACATATTCATGAAGAAACTTCCAAACCAATGAATAACACTTAACTTCAATCTGTGGTCATTTATTTCCAGATCCATTACACACAGAACAAACACTTAACTGCTGAAACTCTCCTTCACAATCCCGTACCTATTGCTTTGTGTCAGCCCAAATGAGAATATCCTTTCAAAAAGGCTGAAACCGTCTCAGATTTACAAACAACCAGTAATCAAACAAACAAACAAAAAAAACCCCTCAAACAAACAGGCTCGCTCACAGCAACTATGTTATCCGTTTTTCTAGGCTTTGATACAAGTCATGGATGAAACAAAAGCAACCCACCAAGCATGCTTGGCTCCACACACTTCCCACTGTCAGAGCAGAAAAGTCAATCAGATTTTCTGTTTGGTAAGCTGGGTCTTTGTACTAGGAGACAAGAATTTTCTGTAGACCCAGAAGCTTCCCTGACTGGGCAACACTCTTTAAGTATGAACCAGTTCTCTCCTCTCTGCATTGCCACTAGTCAGCGCTCCCTCACATCCACGGCTGGAAGAAAACAGCAAAATGTTGCACAAGTCAAGCCAGTCTTACTAATGCTCAAGGACTACCTGCTCAGAAATAAGGTGGTCTTTTTGATTTTTGCAGCCTTATACCAGGGCATTAAACTATGCTCATCATATTAGCTCACCAAAGCTCCTTACAAGAATGAAGAGTGGTACTGCCTAGCTCACTTCAGGAAGTGGAATTGGAAAAAACTGGGAAGGGATTAGAACACAGGGTTAGATTGTATCAAGAATACTGTGAAAGCTAAGGTGCTACAAGGCTCTCTCAGGAAGTCTGGAAGGCTGTAGGCTCTGCCAGGCCACCTTTAGGTGACCGAAGATCTGGCACAGACTGGCACAAGTGCAGCGTAGCATGGATTATTCCTGAGCAGGGATAATCTAGCTGGCATCTAGAATTCCCCAACAGGTGACTTTGCTGGTTTATTCCAGAGCAAACCACAGTGTGAATTATGTTTGTGGCAGGGATGACAAGAGACTGGTAAGCCTAGTGCAAAACAAAACAGGCTAGTTACGCCTACAGACTTGTAGGGTCTAAACTATGTTATCAGAGTGCTGAACTAGCACCCTAATTTACTTTGCTGCTGTTTGACCATGACTTTGCAGCTATTTTTTGCTCTTCCTTTATTCTGGCCAGGATTTCCAAATCTTTGTTTACATGGTGTTGCCATCAATGGCCTCTCCTCACCCTCAACCCTCCCTTTGCTGGCAGCAGGGCCATACTGTGGCTGCCAAGCAATCAGGAAAGGCCGTGCTCTGTTTCACTGCCTTGAGGGAGACACCAACAGCATCCTTGGATGCCGCACAGGGCAGCAGCTCTCTGGGATGTTGCTCTGTGGATGTTCTCTGTACCACACTGCGTCACACGAGATAAGCCAGGCCGTGTCTAAAGGAAATTGGCAGCACAGCAGGTGAACATGGCCTGGGGACACTGTCTATACAGATAAACACAATCAAAAGTAGCAGCAGTTGGCATTTATATAAGGGCAGATGCTATTCTTACCCATCTTGTTTGGTTCCTCAAACCCCAAATAGCCCACTGAGATACTACTGGAGGAGTAAGTGTCACTGAACAAGAGACACAGCATGTGCTTTACAGCACTTCCAGAATCCAAGCCCAACCAAGCATAAACAGATGCAAGGTCATTGCATAATCTTTGTTGAAATGGAGCTGTGTCTCCATTTGCTGAATTCTGATTTGTGTACTTAAATTCTAACTGCTTTATGGATACAATGGTATTTTCTCTTCCAGAGTTCTCTTCCTTGAGAGCCACCCCAACTTACTCCTGATTTAGACTGGCATAAGCAAAACCAAGCACACTGCATTACAACACTGCTCCCAGGCAACTGCAAAGACAAACCCATTTTTCAGAGCTGTCCTGGACTTTCAGTTTACACTACTGTAAAAGACATGATGCATTTTCAGTTTAAAATTTCATGCTAATCAATCGAAAGAACTCATTAGTCCAAATGGTTCAAATCAGGCCCCAAGCTGTGTGAATAAGGGAAGATGAAATACACTTAGGCAATCAAACAGCCTGTTAGGTAACCACTTGAATCAGAAAAATAGGAACCACTGGGAAGCGATGACAAATACGTGGGCACCAAAATAGGTGTTGGACTTTCTGTCTGTGTTTCAATATGCCATTTATTAAATGCAAACAAAGAAAAGAAATACAGGGAGTTCTAGAAATAAAATATAATGTCAGAGAAGATTTGATAGAAGATTTTGAAGATTTGATTTGAAAATTTGATTTGAAACTTCCAAGACCACTTACTGGGGTTTTTAATGTTTTGCACTCATACCAACATTGCTCATTTTATCTTATTACTAGAGTGCACACATGAACCTCAAAAAATCATGCATGAATGCTCTTTGTCTTATCTTCTACAAGGAGTGGGTTCATGACACTTGCTACCTATTTTTTCCTTGTTACGCAGCAGCCCTAAGAGGGAATGTTTACTGTATTTAAATACAGAATGTTCAGGTTTATAAGGCTTAAACTTCATCTGTGGCAGCAAAATTATTCGGTGCTCAAGTTACGCTGTGTCCCCCAGCTAACTCTTTACTAAAATTGGTGCCCCAATGGCAGACATGCAAAAATCTAAATCCCTGTATTAAGGTGCCATAAATCACAGCATAGCTTACTCACATTACACTCGGATTTATACAGGCCTTTAAAAATTTGCATAGTCAGTATGAACAAGCTAACTGTTCCTAAGTTAATAACCACGGCATCTCTTTGAAGCAGTGTTTCTTCTGGCCTGAGTCTGGTCAGCTTCTTAAAAGAATAAAATTGGCTCTTGTGTTCAAGACTTCAGAGTGACAAAAGTGTAAACAAAAAGTCAAAGTCTTTTCATCCAGAGCACCTTGGCTTCCTACGTAATTAGGATGACAGATTCAAGGTACAAAGATGCTGTTCCCTTAAAGTAAGAGGACTCAGTACAGATGGAAACTCAAAAGAAAAGAGGACCACAAAGGAAATACCAAAATTTTGTCTTTTCAATTTTGAGGATATTTCCTTGACTATTCAAGTGCAGCTGAGGCCAAAATCGACTTGGGCAGAGCAGTTACATACCACACATTTTTACTCCAGCATCTAGCTTTATTGTTCTCATGACAAAAATTCTCCAAAAATTCACCAAAAATACTTTTGACCTACAATATGAAATAACAGGCAAGATTATTTTCTTCTTGCTTAGAAAAAGTCTGTTGAACTACAATTTTTCATAACATCCAGACTGAAAAATAATACATAAATTGATTTGAAATTCGGCCCTGATGATTTAGTCCATGTTCAGTTATTTTTTTTACTTAGTCCTGCTCTACCCTTTTCAAAAGTATCAGTTACCATGGCATTTGGCTGTAGAAATGGAAGAAGGCATAGATGGGCTGCAATAACCAGATTCCATGGGTAGCAAGAGCCTGAAGAGGTTTAAGAAATGTATGACCACCTTACACAGCACTTCTGAATTTAGACCAACATATCTAATTATGCTGCTATTTTAGCTCTTTGATGGGCAGAGCTAAGCATATGGCCTTGTTATATACAAGACTACATAACACACAGTGACTTCTTAGTATTTTTCCTGCTGAAAAGCACTGTATTTAATGGAAGAAGTTTTTTTCTGATCAGTCCAACCAGGTCCTGAGGCAGTGAGAATACTTCTCCTCTGCAGGGTCTTTCCAGTTTTCAAGCCCTAAGTTGCTTTGTCATGAAACGTCTTCTTAGACACATTATATACATATAACTCAAACAGCAAGTGAGCGGGACAGGCAGGCAAGAACAGATCTCCTTTCTATCTTCAGGTGGACTACTTTGCTTGCATGTTAAATCTGTTAGGAGAGGAATTTGATAAGGACATACCCAAGAAAAGAATAGAACTTTCAGATATTTAACTCAGACAGACAATATGATTTACGGGGAAGAAAGCCTGAGATAAAACTCTACTCTAGCACCATCATAGAAATATTGATAAATGTGGGTGAAGAGGCAGAGTTCAACTCTTTGCAGAGGAATTTCTGGTTCAGCTAATAAAGGCTGCTTCATCAGGAGCCAGCTGAAAGCACATAGACTTAAAACTCTGCTGAGAAGGAATAACCTAAAAAGCAGACAAGTTTCCCAACAGTGTAAGTACTCAAAAGTACTTACAAAGGGTCAAAAGGCACAGAAATGATGCAAGTCAGACAACTGAGGAGCAACAGAATTTAAACTCTGTGAAAAGCAAGCTTACTAAATACAATTATGTGTAAAGCATATTGGTGAGGAGGATGAGTCATATGAAAGGAAAATGAAAGCTGTGACATTATAGGCATAAAACAGATTGCCCATTACTCAAAGACACTTTCAGTATCACAGAAGGCTCCTAAAGAAGACCTTGAACACAACTGTTATGCTGTCACAAGCTCATGAAAAAGCACTTCCATGGTCAAAGCCAGGTGCATTCATCGGATCACAACCCAAAGGCCACTGAAGCCAGTGCCAGTTTGCAGAGACTGTTCTGCAGCCTTTGCTTTGCTACCACTGCACTTTTACAGCCTTTTTTTCCTGAACAAAGAAGGCTTCAAGAAAGAGCAAGCACATGCTGTTGACAGAGATAACAAGACACAAAAGGCAGGAGACCACAAAAACTATAGAAGCAAGTCCCTGAATATTTTATTCAGAAAGGAGAATTCTTATTTATTAAAGAACTGAATTCCACTTCTCTCTCTGGCCATCTCACTTCAGTCAATCCACCTCCCCTTTTATCAATTTTCAGAAACAGCCCTTCTTCACCCCATCTATTCTGAGCTCTTACTTTCTATTATTACTTTGTTATTTTAAAGGAAGTAAACATTATTGAAGTTCACTAGCTGGTTCTTTTGAGGCGTATGTTATCTAGCCTAAGAAACCTGCTGCATCATTGCTAAAGGTATTCATCCAATTCTAATACCTGCTCCTTATTCACTGAGATTGACTAGCATTATTATTCAAACACCACTTTTTTATTTTCAATTAAGTATGCTGACAAGAGCAAGCTGCTGCTCTGTCCTTAACTTCTCCGCTAAGCATTTACTTCCCCTATTCCCGATTTCCCAAACAATCTGTCACGCAGCCAACATACCAAATTACATATATATATATATATATATATATACATGAAACTAAATGTTGTGAACACACTAGACTGACAGAGAAAACTGTATTTTGTTTGCCCTGCCATACCACAAATCTGAAATACATGGAACAACAGGACAAAATTAAGGTGAGATCCTAAAACACTGCTCAACCATACCTGAGCATTCCTTTGGTCCTTCCTTCGCAACAACTGCGAACCCCTTCACTGCTGTGCTAGAGGGTCTTTGGGGATTCATGATGGCCCCTGGTATGCTAAAGGAGGCAGAATACAAAGATGCAATGGTCAGATCCCACAAAGACCCACCAGCCTGGAAGTGGCTGAAGGTGGATGAGTGCCTAGCCAAAAGGCTACCTGCCTTTCACACTGGGGCTGCCTTCTCTAAGGGGCAAGAATTCGTAGGCCAAAACAAACCTAGGACTCGCAAACTGTGCTGTATTAACCTGCTGGTTTCCTAGACATATTTAGAGATTCTGTGTTGCTGCTGTTTTTCAGCTTCTCAGCCATTAACTAAACCACGGCTTATGTTTTAGGTATGGACTTTGGAGATCTGAATTATCTGAAAGCAAGAGAGGCCTTGTATAACCAAAGACCAAACTGCATGGAGCGGGGCTGATGGGGGTGGACCAGTTCTATTTTATTCAAGAGGCAGGTTGTGTTTTTTGTAATCTTAAGTGAAAACTAGTGGACATCAGCCAACATAATGAACCTACAAAAGAAACCAAGAAGGCAGAAGGGCGAAGAAAAGAGCGAGTGCGAAAATTAACAAGTTTTAGGTACAGCGGCCTTAAGAGCCGCGGGAAGCAGCACCGGCCCGAGCCCGCAGGCTGCGCGCGGGGCCGCCCGCACTCACCTTCCCGCAGCCCGGCGGCCCCCAGAGGATGAGGGAGGGGATTTCCTGGGAATCCAGCAGGGACCGCAGCAGGGTCTGCGCGCCCAGCACCCGCTCCTGCCCCACGTAGTCCCCCAGCGTGTCCGGCCGCAGCCGCTCGGCCAGGGGCTTCCCCTCCAGCTTCTGCGCCAGGCTCTCCCCGCACAGCGCGGCCGCGCATCCATGGCCCGGCGGCGCGGCGGCCTCGTCCCGCCCCGCGCCGCTCTGCCCGCCGGCCGCTGCCGGGCTCTGCCCGCCGCCGCGGCCCTTGTGGAACAGGGAGAAGACGGGGGACCCGGCGGCCGAGCGGGCCTCCTCCGGCTGCCCCTCGGCCTGGCTGCCCGGCGGGGCGGCGGCGAGGCGCGGGCGCTTGCTGGGGGGCTCGGGCGGGGCCCCGCCGGCCTGCAAGCAGCGGTCCAGGTGCGGGTTGATGTCGGCGCCCGGCAGCTCCCGCAGGCACACGGGGCACTGCACCAGCCGCTCCTCCTCGGCGCCCTCCGTAGGCTCCATGGGCTCCCGCGGCTGAGGCAGGAAGCGGAGCCGCCCGCGGCCCTTCGGGAGCTGTAGTCCGGCCGGGCCCGCTCCCCGCCCCAGCAGCCGGGCTTTACCGCCCCTCTGTGCTGAGCGACATCGCCCAGGTCTCTGAACTCGGGTCCACCTGGTCTTACACTGAAATACGTGAAAACGTCATTCTCTGTGAAAAAAAAAAATCAATAAATTAGTATTCTTTAAAATAATAGGTTCAAAACCAAACTCTTGTATTCTGCAGAATGCACGGCAGGTTGTATTTCAAAGATGGGGACAGCAAGCGGTACCATTCGCATCCTAATTTACGACCCGAACTTGACCCATTGGTAATTCTTTCCACATTACATCTTGTTTTCTTTCTTAAAGTATATGTTTAGGTTTAATTATACACCGTGACATAATAGTTCCCAGCTTGTAAAAATTCAGGTCAGTCTAATGTCAGCTGTATTAGGAGGTAAACAAGTCTAGCTACTGGCTAACAGTACCCCCAGGCTTAAAATTTGAAAATGGCTAGTTAGAAAGTGGCCAACAGGTCAAAAATAAAATTTTTATTTGAACTGATGATTGAGACCAAAGACTGAGTTTGAAGCAAAGTGCTTTACAGCCCATCATGTAAACCTAGTTCTTACTGAAGGGATTACAGTCTAAACCCAGATGTTGAAAGTGAAATGAGGTAGTTTTGGGTTCCACTTTTTGGCTAATACGTATTTGCCTGCCCATTTCTATTCCTGATCAGATTTAGAAACAATTACTATATTGTTTATATTTTTGTAATGCAAATACATTGATTTGCTGTTATAAGGTAGAAAAAGCATCAGGACCATAGGTATGCACTGCCTGTGCTTACAGCTAAGCAATGATTTTATGACATGTGTTATCTCTGAGTGTGTAAGTGAAGATGTCATGAAGCATATTTTTCTTGGAGTGAGCGATTGGCTTGCTAAAGATGACCCAGAAAGTATCTCACAGGCCCCAGCTGGGAAATGTAAATGACTGGGGGAAGGTTTTCACCCTCCTTTGGGGGAAAATGGAACTTCACACCATGTGAAGGTCATAGTTCCCATTGCTCAGTGGCACATGACCAGGGTGAGATTTCTTCTGTTGGACTTTGGAGGAGGCACTTGCAAACAAATTTCACATTCTATTGTTCAGCTTTTGTTTCAGAGATGTATTAAGATAATAATGGTGGAGAGCACAGTCATGTTTGGACTCAATCCTAGTCTTTGCTTGGTAACAGAGCCCAGCAAGACATATGAGCTTGCTATTCCATTAATATTTTCCCAGATAATAACTCACTGGCCAGCTTGAAGAAACACGTCCTTTAATGAGGATGTGTTATTCTCATTAGGTAGCCACATTTGGTGATCAAAGCATAAAGGATGATGTGCTCTTTGAAGAGCTATGGAGAGCCTGAATCAGCTTTCCTTGGTTGAAGTCCTGTCAGGCCGCAAGGTCTTCACAGCTAGGTCACTCTAAATCTCTGTAGGATTTGAGTAGCTGCAGACATGGAGTTAGCAGGAGGGCATCTGGAAACATATCCCCCTTTTTTTCTGACAGCTTTCAATTACATCTTATCATCCCTTGGTGTTGAGTAGATCTGACAATCCATAGAATAATGGCTCGAAGGTCAGACTGAGCTGTTGGGTATTTCACCTGCAATTGTCAGAACCTTCAAGAAAATCCACAAACCTGCTTTTGAGAAATGGGGGGAAAAAATCTCATGAAGTGTTCTTTCAACTAATGGCAATGAAAAGAGAGGGATGTCAAATCTGTGAAAGTTGGTGAGGGATGCTAGATGCAGCAGACTTTTGCATACTGGATGCACGACTTCTTCAGATGATGAATGCCTTACAGGCCCATGATGGTGTGCCTGCATCTCCCATATTAACAGCACAGTCTACAACAACATGGTAGCAGGAATCACTCTGGAAGGCTCATTTCAAAACTACAGGCTTACATGGTTTTTTGCTGTCCATCATCTTTAAATGTCACCACTATCCAACCATCTCTCGTGTCACATGGGATAGCATGTGGCATCTTTCACATCTGGGAAGCTTTGTGGGCAGAGCAGTTACTTGGTATAGGTACACATTTGATCTGTTGCATGTGCACAGATGTGGGGTCAAAACACTGAGGAACATTTTCTGTTGGAAGGTGTTTGGGTAAAAATAACGGATTTAATTGCCTCTTTGATTGTACTCTGAAAGCTGTTTCTCTGTGCTGCCAGTGACTGTGAGGTTGTATATAAGTTCTTAATTACACCATATAATTTATGGTGTTTATGCAACTTAAATTGAAACTGTGAGCTGTGTGATGAGATTTAACAGATTCAGCTTTCTAGAGCTAAGGCATTAGCACTGTTCTTTTGTACCTGGGTTTTCAGTACAGCGAAGGAAGGGTTGCAAAAACAGCAACAGAAATAGTTTGGTCCTCTATTTCCTAGGTGTATAAAGAGATGCTAAGTGAAATTTTAGAGTACTCTTTAAAAAAATTAGTTGTTCAGAAGGAAATATATTCCAAGTATAGCCAAGTGATTGCTTGAGGTGGGAACCCACGACCTTGCTGTGGAATAAAAGCCTTCTACAGAGAAGGCTTGACTTGCAGTGGCCTTCCAACCACTCCTACTGTTAGACAAGCCTTGGTGATCCTACATCCTGTACTTGCCAGGCACATTGCAAGGGCCTGCAGAGGAGAAGAACCCAGCTGAGGACTGTGCTCTTCTGCAGCCTTCAACAGAGGACCAGAAGTTGCCACCATTTTGGCAACTATTATTTTTGTGGTACAGGGTGGTGGGAAGAGAGAGAAAAGGCCCGTGTTCATGCCTGTACTACTTTGTTGAGTATTAACATATTTTTGGACTTAATAACAGCACATCAGCTTGCTGGAACTGCAACTGAAAAGAGAACATGTTGAGCAGAGGGAACCACTGAGATGGCTAAAAAGTGAGAAGTGCTCCATAAGCAAGGTCTGCAGCAACAGCAGTAGGCACTGATTTCACTAAGCTAAGTAGTTTCTATGAACAAATTCAATTATATTGGTCTTGTCGCCTTCTTGAATTATCTGGTGTTCCGTGTAGAACAGTGTCTGTGAACAGGCAGTGCTGTTCAAAACTCTGAGTTTTTGTTCAGCAAGTATAAGGAAAACATAGTTGAAATATAAAGTGTTGCAACATGGTAATTTTCTAAGCTAAAATGCATTAATAACACTAAAACCTCTTATTTGTCTTTCTTTCATACAGCCAAGAAAGAGGAGAAATCAGAAGTTACGAGTGTTCTCTGGTTTATGAATCTAAGGTGGAGAGGAGAACAGACAGTAAATTAACTGGACATAATATGAAGCTACTTAAGATTAACAGGCTGGAAGAAATAAATACACGATTCAGCACAAGCAGACTAGAAAAAACAGCCTTTTTTCAGAGTGTGGAGAAAATGAAGATGACTAGAAGCTTTCAGGAAGAAAAATTCAGTGAATCAGATCCTGGAACAGAAGAGAAAAAGGTAACTAACTAACTGCATAATTAATTTTGTTTTCCCAAAAGCACTGCCTCTTTCTTTTTTGAGCTAGTTAAGGAGTTTACTTTGTGTATTTCCCAGTAGACTTCAATTTTTCTTTATCATCTGTGAAAATGTATTGCAGCTGTGAGAGACTGTGTTAAGATCTGATTATTGAGAGACTCCTCTGCGCAAATTAAGGGGCAAATGAGACCACATGCCAAAGTCAATAGTATGGATTTTAGTTAATAATGAATTTGAGGTAGAGAGATAGAAATGGGAAAGAGGAGGGGGAGAGAGAGAGGTTGAGTAGAAGCTAGTCACCACCTGTGGATCAAATGACATCCCACTGATCCTTTTTCACACATGGCTTCTCAGTGGTGGAGGTCCTGAGGTCATTCAAAACTTTTCATTATTTATATATCTAAGCAGAGAAAGAAAGTTCATTGGCTACACAGTTCTCTTATTCTGTTGGTTAAATGATTGCTTCACTTCTAATACTAAGTAGTGCACATGCTGAGTCTTTTCTTTTGGGTCGGTGGGTTTCTTGAGTTGTGGGTGGTTTCAATCTCCCCTTGCTGGAATTAATTTTTACTCAGTCACAGCTGATTTCAGCACAGTTGCTGAGTAAGCTTGCCTCGTGGCCCATAAATTCTGTATTCTTTGTGTCCATTTTCAGTGATACATCCTTCCCCCCTGGCTTTGTTAACCTCATCCCCAGTCTGAGATAACGCCAGGACAATAGTAACACTGTTATCTTATTTTAAGTTTTTGTCACAGTAGCTTAACTATTTGGGGGAGGGCTTTGGTGATGGCAGATGCCATCTGTCCCATAACTTGGGGTGATTTTTTGATTGTGATATGCATACAAGCAGTTGCTTCTTTACACAGTTTGCCACACCAGGACACCAGGCATTTTTGTCTCAATGAATTACCAATTGTGTGCTAACCAGATTTCACCTCCACCAGGTCTGGACTTAGCACCACACTGTTGCTCCATTCTGTGTTTATCTTGTGGCAAAGTCCTTCTGTGGCCCTAACAGTATTTGGGACAGGCGACTGTGATCTTTAGGTTCTTACAGACTGGTTAGCATCTTTTAATATTTTGTGTTCATAGAAACAAGCATGTGTTGTTATTCTGGGGTTTAATTACTACTGGACTTAATATTCAGAAACTGTAAAAGGGTTGTGTGGTTCTACCACCCTTCAAAATCAGAAAGTAATCATAGATTTTGTTGGCTTCATGTTTTGAAAGCATCTGTCCTAACAGCTGTGGAGTTAGTGGAGACTGAATGAATCCCATGGAAACAGCAGATTCCCCAGTGGAACTGAGGCAGCTTCGTGCTTTGCTCCCTACTACCTGGTGAGCAGAGCATGGTTATGTGCCACGTATGCTGTGTTCCACTCTTGCAGGGCTGAGTGTTATCAGTGTGGCTCTGTTCTCCACCTGTCTCCTGTAGGAATGGTGTTAGGCATTATGGTATGGGGTCTCTGGTAGGAAAATGGCTCTGTGATCAGCCAAAATATGTTTAGAAATAACAGCACGTTTCCTTGTATTATGTTTTTATTCCATGCAAGAATCTAAAGGAAGTAGTATTTTTACTGACACATCATTTAGATAAGAACTGAGAAAATCCACTTGCAGTAGGAGAATGAGA